CCACAGCATGCGTCCATCCCCTGGTCCAGTGTTCCACAGCATGCGTCCATCCCCTGGTCCAGTGTTCCACAGCATGCGTCCATCCCATAGTCCAATGTTCCACAGCATGCGTCCATCCCCTGGTCCGGTGTTCCACAGCATGCGTCCATTCAGGGATCAGAAGTCTGATAAACAAACTAACTTGTTATCGCTCCTGGCTCTCGTCCCTTGATACATATCACTTTGTTAGCGGCTATTGTTCATTTACCGTAATTGGAGCTAAACTCTCTAATTGGCAATTTGCGAGTCCAAAATCCCTCAATTTGTTTATCAAAGCTCATTGAATCAGCTCACTGTGAGTTGACGGACCCAACCCGTGTCAGACTCGTCGTGAGTGAGCATGATATTTAGTCTGGGAAGATTATGGCTCGTTGGAGCTTCAAGTTGAAGAGCGGAGCTTGACCTGTCCATCAGTCCTTCTGCACACGGACGTCAGTAAATGTGTAGCACACATGGAATGTCGAAGTTAAGAGGTGGGTGTATTAACCGGATTGATCATTAATTGTGAACATCGGGTTGGTGTGCAGGCGATGAGTCACAATAACGTGGCTGAAGTATGTTGACCAGACCACACACTAGAAGTTGAAGGGACGACGACGTTTCGGTCCGTCCTGGACCATTCCCAAGTCGATTGTGGTGGGTGTATTAACCGGTTAATACACCCACTAAGGTGGGTGTATTAACCGGATTGATCATTAATTGTGAACATCGGGTTGGTGTGCAGAAGATGAGTCACAATAACGTGGATGAAGATATAATGACCAAAACACACATCAAAAGATGGAAAAAAACGACGTCTTTTGGACCAGTTTCTATGTTACATTTGGTTTATTGAAGTTTGTCGTACATTTGAGACTCACGTTTTCTTCATATACTGAATTGATTTGATGAAAATTATCTGTGATCTCTGGCTATGGCGAGTGCTGTCGGGTTGTTGGGTAAAGTCTTTGCCGACCAGTGACTTTTGTACAGTCAGTCGTGGTGTCGTGGTCATAGTACTCACATGCTAATGCGTTTAGACCGCCAGGGTGTATAAGGTTCGAACGCTACATGAAGAAGTGTTTTTCTGTTTATATATATATATATATATATATATATATATATATATATATATATATATATATATATATATATATATAATATATATTGATAAAGCTGCATGAACGCGAAAGCCACAGATCACTAAGAACTCTTTGTCCCGGCCAGGATTCGAACCCATGCCGTCCAGGATCATCCCTAAACGTACACAGTACCGTGACCACCGCATTGGTACAGTGTGAAATAGAATAGTTACCCTATAATCTAAGGCAAGGAGTGGCTTGAAAAACCTTGGAAACTGTAGGAGTATCGTCTGTTTTCTGAGAGTACGGACAAATTATGGATAGCACGAAATTTCTGTCAATTTTCACGGATAGTGAATAATTGTGTATATTACTACAAGTTTAAGTTTTTAAGTTTGTTTTCAAAATATTAAGCTGTGTAGACAGAGGGCAGTGCCAAAAATCGTCGTAGGAGGAGTCTGAATGACGCCTATGTTCATCCCATACCACAGACCATTCCCCCTGCTAATTTGGGGAAAACTAACCTCAAGCGTCTGGCTTTAAATTTTTAACAAAGAAACTGACTAACATTCTCTCTTATAGGATATATTATATGATTAAAATCATGCTGGAGATTGTAAGAGACTCACCATCTCTGGGAGGGTGAAGCAGGAGCCCTTGCCCGAGCACAGGGAGCCCTCACACACTCGGCCGAGCGGACGGTCACTTGCAGCTTGAAACACTCCGTCGACGACCACGACGACCGACCTGTAATGTTTATTGGTCGTTGTTACTGACGACACCAACTTATGACTGGAGGACTTTGTGAGGCCTAGTGTGTGTGTTGTGTTTGTGTACTCACCTAATTGTACTCACCTAATTGTGCTTGCGGGGGTTGAGCTCTGGCTCTTTGGTCCCGCCTCTCAACCGTCAATCAACTGGTGTACAGATTCCTGAGCCTATTGGGCTCTATCTCTTATCTACATTTGAAACTGTGAATGGAGTCAGCCTCCACCACATCACTCCCTAATGCATTCCATTTGCTAGCTACTCTGACACTGAAAAAGTTCTTTCTAATGTCTCTGTGGTCATTTGGGTACTCAGCTTCCACCTGTGTCCCCTTGTTCGCGTCCCACCAGTGTTGAAAAGTTCGTCCTTGTTTACCCGGTCGATTCCCCTGAGGATTTTGTAGGTTGTGATCATGTCCCCCCTTACTCTTCTGTCTTCCAGTGTCGTGAGGTGCATTTCCCGCAGCCTTTCCTCATAACTCATGCCTCTTAGTTCTGGGACTAGTCTAGTAGCATACCTTTGGACTTTTTCCAGCTTCGTCTTGTGCTTGACAAGGTACGGGCTCCATGCTGGGGCCGCATACTCCAGGATTGGTCTTACATATGTGGTGTTACAAGATTCTGAATGATTCC